GGGTAGTAACGTGGATGATCGTGGATGAAAGGAATAGGGGGTTTCACCCTGCCACCCGGCCTCTAGGCTGGTGGAAACCCGGAGGGGACTATTTAAGGGCCTCCTTGGTTAAAGTCGCCGGCCACGTGGTGTTGCTGGTTCGGGTACCCAATCCTCCTTGCTGTTCCCCGCTCTTCCTCGCTCGGCCTCTGTCCTCTTTCGGAGAAACAAACTCTCCCTTGTCTCTTCGTCTATAGGATGGGTTCGAGAGCGGGTCTTTCGTGAACTCTGCTTGGGCAATCCCCCACATCATTTCAACATCTCCAAATATCAAAAAGGCAAAGCCTGACACAATCCAATTCCCAATGCAATTATTATATTAACGTTATTCCGAATCTACAAAAAAGCAGACAAAATTATCAAAAGCCCAAACCATAATGCTTTCCAAAATATCACCTGGACGCAGCACGCACCAGCACCGACTTCCAAAAATCTTGTCCCCCAACTAAACTCAACAAAGCAAGTGCACGCATTGAATTTCCAAGGGTGTAAGGGCATGAAATCCCGTGTATAAGGGCATTGTTGTTACTATCATTTTGGAAAATAAGCATTACATCTTGAAATATGTTAACATATATTAAATATATTTAAATATAGAATACTAGTATTTATAATTTCCTTTTTTTACGAACTAAATGGCAGGCCATCAAATGCAGATCTCCGTGCAAATCTGGAAAAAGTCCTACCGTTCGGCCCGTCGCGGCTGACTGCAGCCAGCCTGACCAGCAAATTGTTAAAGATCAATACATTGCCACATGGCTGATGAACAGGGCACTTCACAGTTCTGTGAATGCCACTGGTTCTTGTTTCTGTACTCAGGTCGCGTCAGGTCGCTGAGTCGACCGAGTCCTTCTCCACTACTCCTACTCTGGTACGCCCAACGGATTTGGGTCATTTCCTCGGACAGCTTTGTCAATGCTGTCAGCAACATACCTCAGATCACAACATGGTCAGGACCAATCAAAGTTGTTTAGTCATAGTCTACCTTATTGTGCGACATACCAACAAACACCGTCACACAATGTCACACAAATCATTAATCCAAGAACATCGGAGGGGAAAAGCCCGTCTCCAGAACTGATTCTCTGAGAAAACAGCGGCGCACTGAAGCAGAAAATCTGAACTGGTTCTTGAGCCAGTCACAATGACTATCGTTCCCAATGTTCCTAGCCAATCATATCACCGAAGGATGTTTAGAAGTCAAACTAACTTCCGACAATATGGACAGATTCGGGGTTGTATAAAAACCCCGTATCTTTTTAAATTACCCAAAATCACGTTATCGTTTTTTTTCCTCTTATCGTTTTCTCAGGTGGTGAGCTCCCTGTAGACAAGAAGTGTGAATTTACCAGGCTTCCATGGGTGTGAAAGAATTGTTCGTGGAAGATCAAAACATATTGTCCTGTGTGCAATCTTCGACATGGATCATAATCGTGAAGGATCTCAGCACTTGACTAGCTTTCTGCAACTCTTTTTTTGGTCTGTGGGATTAGGGCAAGGAGTCTGGGACATTGCTTTTTTGCTTCTGAAATTGCACCAGGTCCGATTTCAGGATCTTTCAAAACTTGCTGCAGCAAGGCATAGACAGTCTTGGGTGGTAAAGACATGCCAGAAGCCAAGGTGAGGCAAAGCCGGTAAAGAGGAAAAACTAAACAAGACTACCATGCCACACATTTCTGTTTTCAAAAAGCCTCGTGTAACCTGTCAAATGGGTAGTTGCTCACACGGCATGTTTTTTGCTACAGTTCCTTATCGTTTTCGTTATCGTTTCGTTATCGTTTTGGTCCCATGAGACTCAGCAAGTTGGTCCAATCCCATGGAGCTGCCAACGTTTATTCTCAATTGCAGGTATCGCTTTTGGGGGGGAGGCTATCGCTACATAGTGTTTTGTGCAAGTTCCTGACACCCGAGAACTCTCCTTACATAAGTAATATACCAGATCGAGTTTTGACCGTACCTCATATCATGTATGTATATATTATATATATGTCTATTATTATTATATATATTGTATATGGGCATCGTTATCGGTTTTTTTTCCTCTTATCGTTTTCTGGGCCGGCAACATATTGGCAGTGTTAAAGTGCAAGCCAAGCTAAAATGCAATGCACGGGGTTATTATGAAACAGCAGAGGTGGGAAGAGTCAGAGAAGAGAAAGGAAGAAAGAAGATCAGAGAAGAGAAAGAGTCAGAAGAAAGTAGATGCATGTGCGCGAAAAAGTAGAAAAGTCACGAAACACTGTGTTTTTTCCAATGCTTTGTGGGCCCAGTAGGATCAAAAAGTAGGCTCGCTAAAGCGGCTGGTGTGGAGCCATCTGGCCAGTTGAGAGCTCAAAAATTGCACGCCGTTGTGGGCTAGACAGATAGATAGACAGATAGACAGATAGATAGACAGATAAACAGATAGACAGGACAGATAGATAGACAGACAGACAGCTAGACAGATAGATAGCCAGACAAACAGCTAGACAGATAGATAGACAAATAGATAGACACATATTAGATAGATAGACAGAAAGATAGACAAAAAAAGATATAGATAAAATTACAAATAGATAGATGGACAAGAAGATCGATAGACCAATCAATACGCAGATTGGATAGATAGATAGACCGATAGACTGATAGATAGATAAGATAAGAAATATATAAGATAAGATTAGGTTAGATTATATAGATTAGATTGATAGAAAGACAGAAAGATAGAAATATAGAAATATAGAAGGATAGATAGACAAATGGATAGACAGATAGGTAGACAGATAGACAGAAAGAAGGATTCATTGATAATTACAAAGAGAAGGTAGGTAGATGGATTGATAGTTTGATAGTTAGACAGGTATATAGACAGAAAGATAGAAAGATAGATAGACAACATCGATGGACAGGAAGATAGGCAGTCAGATTTTCGGACAGATAGACAAAAAGAAAGATGGATGAATACGTGAATTCATCAAGAAGATCAACAGAACGTGGCAGTCAAACATTGATACTCCAACAACCTGTCATTCCGTCATCGACACTCGAACAACTCAACCGTATAGCTTCTATCTTTGAAACTTCCGCCACTGCCTTATGTGGTCCTACCGGTAAGTTGACAAAATCACTGTAAGGAAGCATCCAAGAACAACACCTGCAAGCACGAGCCATCCACCAAGCTAGGCCCCGATTGATCAGACTGTGTCCCTCTGGTGCGAGCTGCTCGACGTTCCCAGGATTCAATCCGGCCATTGAAATGCGGCCATCGCCTGTCCTTGGAGGGCCATCGCAGGGGAAATTGTTTCGAGGCAACAAATGCCAGGTGGTCCCCATTGAACGACTCACTGGAGGATTTCAAATCTCACCTGACCAAACATGAAACATCTGTATGTAGAACCTAGGACCCGGATGGACTTGGGAGGTCACAAAATGACACCAGAGTTTGTGCGCAATCTGCCAAGCTCACAGGAAGGCCGCACGTAGTGGAGTAATCAATTGATATGAATTACAGTGAATTATACACATTCAACAAATAAAAATAGTTCTATAATGTTCTATAATGCTCTAGACCAATTTCAAATCTAAATTGCGATGCAAATATGTATTGAACGTTGAACATTAAGCTGCGCTATCAAAGTGCAATGCCAGACTGAATGAAGTCATTTGGCTATATTATTATATCATATCAGGACTTTATCTAATCGTATCCCAGCCAAGGCACATGTAGATGTGGAACTCTTCCACCATACGCATGACTTGATCCTGTTGCCAGGACCAAGACAAAACGTGATTTGTTGGACCTACAGAAACACCAGAATCCATCACTGTGAATGGCTCAACAGCTGGAACGGCCTTGGATAAGCCCGTGAAGGTGAACATGCCGATCTGATCCGTGACATGGTTCCAAGTTCCAGGAGTGCCCTTCGCCTCAATGGCCTGTAGCTGTTAGATCTGTTAGCAGGAAATCTCACCCATAGTCAGATGGAGTTCAGATCGATATGGATCAGATGTTGATAGCCCAAAATTGGATGGATCAATACCAAAAGATTGAAAGCTATGGGATCTATGGATTAAGAATCAAGCCCATGCCTTTCTATGGCAAAAAAAAACTACAGAACTCGGAATTGCCATGGCTGAAGATCCCACGCCTTCCGAAGAGCTACCTCAGCGGAGTGCGGAGAGTGACATGATATCCACTCAAGCAGGCACCTGATCCTAGAGTGACAAAAACGTACCTGTCATCGCAATGCCAGAAAGGTGCGCTTGCCGTAATGTTGCTCGCAAACGAAAGATGTTGCAAAAAACATGACCATACGTTTATTGTGGAAACACATATATATATATATATGTAAATATGCGTGCTCGTACACACACACACACATGCATATCGTGCATAATAGTGCATAATCTTGCATGTGTAGACACGGCTCACAGCTCTGCATCTTACTCTTATCACATCCAAGGGACCCAGGGTATTAGTTACAGGAGAAGGTATCAAACATCGATTCTATGAGGACAAAATTGTTTATTTATCGAACTGCCATACACAAAATAGGTTCGTCCCCTATCAGTGTGAGATGAGGAGTTGTAAAATTTGTATACCTACTGGTAGGTGACATGTGCTGTATGACACTGTATGATGCTGTATGCATCTGCGATGCTCGCATGTCAATGATGCGATTCGACATGAAGGTCAGCTCTTTCAGCCACATTTCCTTCAATGCTGGAGTTGTTAAGACCTGGTCGTGCCAGTGAGGTCAGAGGATGAGGTGTTGATATGCTGGGGACGGGTCCAAAACGAAGTGAAATTGGACCATCTTGGGATGTACCAATGGCGAAAATGGGGGTCATGTTTGTTTGAGCCATAAATTTAGCCATGAGGCAAAATGTGGCACAGCTACATTTACATTCTATGGTAATTTTCACCGGGTCAATGATACATTGGACATCAGTGAACTCACTTGTGTTTTTTTGGAAAGAAGCATGTGTTTGGGTATAGGTCCGAATCGAGGACCACAGATCGCAGCATATGTCAGGCAACCATCCCGATTTCGAGAATTTGTGCCATACACAATATGTTGCCACCAATCCACCATAATCATCCATAATCAAAAAACTGCGAGAAGTCCATCAGTTCCTTGTCAATTCTTGCCTTGTTGACGATGGCGGCACCGTGCTGGGGAGGGCTAGAGTAAGCCTGCATGCGCCATCAAGATGGCAGCGAAGCAGATATATAGAATGTTAACAATCAGCTACGAAACAAAAGGAGATGTCTGATGCTTGATATTTATCATGGTCATATACTGCCGCTATCATTATATATCTGTGGAATCTTTCAGGCAATGAAATTACATTCCTTTGAGACAAACTAGCAACATCTAGCAACTATGACAAAGTCTGCTGCAAGGCACCTGTCGCACAATGATCTTCATCTGTGACAGCCTCAGTTTCTAGGAGCACACACACGCACCCTCACGCTGGGAGAATCGCCACGGGCATTTGGTCTTCCCCACTGGCAATTGGTCTCGTGAAGTTGAATTTTGTTGACAAATGGTTTGGGCACGAGAGCTCATGCTTTAACAGGGGCCGTGTCGTTGATTAAACCTCTCAGCCGGGTTCTGGAAACAGCCACTGGCATGGTACTTCGCCACTTCGATCTGCGAATGAGCCGTAAATGGCCGAGACAATGTTTTACTATGTTTTACTAAACACAACTGACAGTTTTTAGTTCCTTGTTCGGTCCACCGTTGGATGTGTGTTCCTTTTCCCCATGGTGCACATGCTCTTCTGAAACTTTCTGATTTACGATTTTGGTTGTTTCCCTTCCCAGGCATGTGTTTTGTCTACGTCTTGCTCGCAACCCCCTTGGCGCAGATTGAAGAGGACGCAGCAAACAAAGAAGAAACAGTTGAATCTCGTTAAACTTGTCCTTGCCACACCTTTGAAAACGAAAGTGTGCATGATTATGCTACTTGTAGTTATAGTATGTTATAGTGTCGTTTGACTTTCTCTTGGCAGGTCTGGCGAACCTATCAAATACTGAGGCGAAAGAAGCAAAACCCGTTCGGAACCTTTGGTCATCGGCCATGTGCCACTAGTATGACAGCTACTAAACGAATTCCTGGACTATTGTATCGCCGTTTACATCGGACTTCAGGATGCTCCAAACAACGCCCAGCAGGGTGGAGTACGAGTAACAATAGTTCTTTGTCCTCCCGCAGCTCCCTCCCTTGTATCTAGAAACACACACACTGGGAGAATCGCCACGGCATTTGGTCTTGCGAAGTTGAATTTTGACAAAAGAACAACTGATCCCCGGGATCCCCGTCCCAAATCCCGTGTCTGTGACCGCAATGCCTAGAGATGTTCAGGATGGGTCCTTGCCCGTTGGCACCTATTGAGTCGGCTTACCAAATGTACCATGCAGTTCTACACCGGAAACCTCACCAAACAATACCAAAGACAGAAGTAAAACTTGTTCACGCTAAATGCGACCCAAAAAATATCAGGAGTTATGCATGCAAGCACTGTGAACAGAGTTTCACCTGGAGTGAGAAAGGTAGTCCCATTTGTGTTCTCTGCGCAATACATGATATGCATGATGTTCGTGCGACATGTTCTGGTCGTATCAGCGCATCTACATAGCATGGAGTAGAGTCAGAATGTAGCAGCTGAATGCCAAGAAACACAGCATCTGCGGCGTCTTTTGACGCGCAGCGAACGTGGATGTACCCAATACGCTCTCCTTTGCATCCGTGGAATAAAGAAGTCATTGGTCATAAAGCATTCACAGTGCAAAACGTCTGAAACGACTACAGTATATGTGCATGAACAAACAAGCATTCATTGAAGTCATAATCATAATACGTAGTCATTGGTGACGACAGACTTCTCAATGATGCTCTTCCAAGAATGGGTGTTTCAATCACCTAATCCCAAAACACCAAACTAACCACTTTCTAATTACTGCAAATATATGCAATGTCAATCAAAGGCTGGTGATCTACAAACAAAAAGTCAGATGTTTTCTGTCTTGTAAAACAAACTCATCAGTCCCAAACTTGTTTTAAGGAATCAGGACATGTCCCAAGTATTCCGAAGTAACTTATATGATACCTCTATAATTCTCTCTCTAAATGAATAATAATATAGTTGAAGGGTGTTGAAGGCTTCTGACAGTGTCAGGGGTGAGGTCCAAGAACAATCAACCGATGCTTGCAGCCAAGTGTCCGTAAAGCCCAAAGTTCTTTGCAAATGACTGAGCCTCGGGTTGCAGCAAAGCTTCATTGAGCCTGATGTTTCCAGCATCACCCTCACTCTGTAAGCGCATTCAGCTGGCGAGCTGATGAGATTGAAGTGAGAGTTTTACGCTTTCATGTAATGCGGGAACACATGTGGTAAAAAATGTGTAAAAGCGCTACAACTGGTTGTGAAAGTGAGCCCACCTCAATGGCACAGAACATTCCAGGAGAACTGTGCCCAGTATGTGCCAAGCAACGATGAAGAACTCCATCCCACTCTGTGTAAACCTCACAAAGTAGCGCAAATGAAAGGCAGACTGATGAATGGATGAATACCCTGGAAGCAATGGCTCAAACCTGACTGATGCCCGTTGAATCCCGTTGATGGTGAATGGAATCTGTGTGAAGCTTCCACGGTGCCAACGAGCTGCAGTTGCTGCGAATAGCCATCCTTTGCCAGTTCACCACTGGCGTAGCCCTGGTAGGCGTTGTCAAGGAGCGGGATGAGCTTTCCTCGGCTTTCCAATATCATCAATCTCATTCCCGGCATTCATGAACATGTTCCCTTAACATGAATCATAGTATTGACTATAATGAATTTCCGGGATTTATGCTTCATTCAGTAAAAATAAAAATCGTAGCGCCTTACAAAGCCTTGCAACCTTTGCATTCCAAGGTTCTCGCTTTGCAAGCTGCCACTATCTTCTGCCATTGATCTGGTGTTGGATCAACACCAGTAGGGTTGTGGGCCACTGCCTCATGGCTTCGCAGTTCAAGACATCCCCAAATCTGTTTGAACTCTGCTTGAACCATGGTCAAGTATTGGATCTGTATGGATTTCTTCAGTTTTCCATTTTGCGATTGGAGGGATGGGATTGGCTTTAAACTTTATTTCTCCAGTTCACAGTGCAACAGGAAGGGACGTCAGGACTTTCTGGTGACATGGTGACAGTGGATGCTTCCAGGCAACATGGAGCAGGATGCACTCGCCTTCCTCGGCACAGAAAATGTGACTCTGAAACTTCACAAATGGAGTACCAAAGAGAACACAAACTAGTCATGTTGTCATGTGTATAGTATGGATGCATACAACTTTGCGGGACTTAGTCTGTTTGGATGTTTTATAGAAATTTGCGCAATCTGAAAATTGAATAAAATTGATCAGTCGAGACTCCTTCATCTTCTCAATACCAGCCATCATTCCGTCAAAGTCAAGGCCTCGCTTCTCCTGGTGCCAGTAGGGATATGTGTCCTCAGAGGCTGACGCAGATAATTATATAGATAGCATACATCCTCTGAGTCCTCTGGATCCAAAAACTTGGAGACCTAAATCTAGATGAATGGTATTAGAATGGTAATAATAAATATATCACGGGTCACGAAAGAAAGTGGGTTGAGCTGGTCTTATATTGATAAACCAGCAGGGCAGCATCCCTGACTTATCCATTATTGCTTGCATCAGCTCTTGAACTGTTGTCATAGGGCTGTCGCATTTTTTTCCGCTCTTCTATCCCATCATGGTTGTGATCTTGTGGGTGTGAGAGAGAAAAACCTGCCCATCCTGTTTCTACATGTTTCTACTAAACCTTGTTGGTAAAGTATCCGCATTTGTGCAGTCGACATGTCAGAAAGGTCCCCTGCATTCCCTGCATCTCCAGGGCGCCCTCTTTTCGGTGCCGGGTCTCACACTCAAGCAATGCACGCTGAAAAATCTTGGGATGGTTGCCCCAGGTCGGATTTGGACACCAAACCTGACAAGTGGATACAAGTGGATACAAGTGGATACAAGTGGATACAAGTGGATACAAGTGGATACAAGCGGATACAAGTGGATACAAGTGGATACAAGTGGATACCGGGAGGAAGTTGTCGATATAATGCCATAGTGACTAAGACTTGCTGGGAACCCAACAAATCAAAAACAACTCAGTAAATGTTCCTTTAAAATCCTTTAGAAGGCATCTTAAAACATCTTCAAGACATCAAAGTCTCAGAGTCTCGTCCATGGAACCTGGCCTTCGTGACGCCCATGAACTTCAGGAATTGAGCAATACACTGCAGGGAGCCAGTGCCTGAAAGTGCCTGAACAGTTGCAATGCATCCACCTGGGAGACCAGGGAAACATGAGGAAACCAAGTCCAACATAGTCCAACATAGTCCAACAGCAAATTCAGAGCTGGCAGACATGTTCAGAAATCCCACATTCTTCAATACAGGGTTTCTGAATGATGGTGAGTCAGAGTGGCACAAGCCAACACATGAATCTAGCCAAGCGTCTATCAATGATGTCACCATTGAAGATCAGCCTTAGCTCCGTGCGCGGGATCGATAGATATCAATCATGATCCCGCATCCAGCATTATTGTGGACGCTGAATTCCGCCAAGCAGCTCTTGCACAGGTCGCTTGTACTCTGGCTTGCCATCAATTGGCTGGTACTCCTACCAAATGCTGCCCCGGAAGTACCCGACTATCCCAAGGGTCAGAATCCTGGAAGCCCCCAAAATCCCCAAGGGAAACTGGATGCATGGCCTTGTCTTGGGTCGTATCATTGACCACCTCAGCTTCCGCGGCCCAGTTTGTCTTCCAAGTCCTAGCAATACCCATGGTATACCCATGGTAAAAATGGGTGTTCTGTAGCCATACAAAGAAATAAAGAAATATAAAGAAACCTGGAACAAGGGGTGAAGAATCAACCAAACTATCCAAACTCTTCCTGAGAAATCCAAAATCTATGACTCCGTGCCTCCGTCTTTGACCAAAGTCTGGAGGCAACTGAGGAATTGGGGCGCCCCACCATCTTCTCTGCTTCAGCCACCGAGGGAAGGATCCATGGCTTGCCCTCTTCAGTACGGTAGGCGCCGACGCTCAGATTCACCTGCAGGCGCCCATTTGGGCAACCCACCGTGGGGACATTCAGGGGCCTTAACCATCTCTAACTGCTCCCTGCGGGGAAGTATCATAAGTATCTCAAGTCCAATTTTGTGGGTCAGTACCGAATCTGCCAGGGCCATCTCTCATTCCCCGCCTTTTTTTTGGCAGGATCAGCCTTGAATCGGCTCACCAACCCCAAAATTGGGTCAGCCGGCGCCTCACAAAGCACAGTCAGTGGCACCCACAACCACAACGTGAGTTGCGGGGTAAGTGTCACATAATGTCACATAGAATGAGGGCGAAGATGATGGGGCGCCAGGATTGGCGCAAGGTGGTGTTCAAAGGTTTCAATGGTTCGAAGAGAAATATATGGAAATACAAATATGATATCATTATCCACCCAGCTCATGCTGAAGTCATGGTTAGGAACGATGTCCCAGTTGTTGGTGGCAGTTTGAGCTTGGTGCAGGCTGCTTGACCAGTTGGAAGTCAGTATCAAACTCTGTTCAAAGAGATGGACTAGAAATCATTTAAGAAAAAGAACATAAACAAAACTATGGCCGAGGGGTTTAAAGTTTAAACGCGCGTATCACTTCAAGGTCCCCTGTGATCGAGGCGGCCAAGCCTGAGAAATGCTTGCGAAGATGCTCATGACTGAGTCAAGACCTCAGGCAAAGGGAATCATGTCATAAAGCCTTCAGCAACCACAAAATGGGGAGGATTATCACCAACAAGCACTGCTATGGTGCAACTGTCACAGTAGTTGTCCACCTCCACCCTGTCCACCTGTTGATACTCTCAGGGAGTCTCAGAAATATGTCTTATTATCATTTTTTAATATTACAATTACAATATAATTATATATTCTATAGTGTGCATAATATGAATGTGTGAGTATGCAATGTAAAAGCTTTCAAAATGCGAGCAAATGTATTATACGATATTATACGTATACAATGTTATACAGGCTATTAATGGCTATTCCAGGTTCATTCATTTAGAGAGCGTAATACTGGGGCAGAGCAGCATTTTGATTGTAACATCATGTCACCTTATCGTGCCTGAGTTTTGCTGAGAGGCAGAGATGCGCCAGTTGTTTCGGCACTGCTTCACTTGGACCCAAATGGAGGAAAGGGCAGTTAAAACAATTTTCGTCCGGCAAAGGTAACTCAGTCTTCTCGTCACTATCGCATTCATGCCATAGTGTGAATGTGTTTGGTGTTGGTCGAAATTGCAACTTGGGTTTGGATCAAAACACCGGCGATCGAATCTGGGCAACAATCGCAATCGCATGCAATCGCACCTTATTTTCCTCCTGCTGCTCAAAAGCTCGAGATGAGAAAAACTCGAGGACTCGCTGCTTTCCAAAAAGGAGCCTGGACACAACATCTTGCAGCCCCGATTGCCCCATCGCTCTGCCTAGAGAAAAGTCCAGCAATAGTGTCAAGCAAACAAACGTACAACTGGGGTGAGCATGTCATTTCGCATTCCTATTCTTTGTTTTTGCAAAAGATGCTAAAAGATGCAAGAAGCAAAAAAACATTGGCAGTTGACATGCAATTGAGCATGGCGCCGCTTTAAAGAACTGCCAGCTTCGGCTGATGTCTGCGCTCACACAGGTCGCACGGCTGCGGCTTGAGAGTGGGCGTAAGGCCACCGTCAAATTGCAGCTATTCTGCGTCATTGCTAGAGAACTCCAGCATAAACTTCGAGAATGAGAAAATATGCAGCAAGGACCAGCTAAGGATCCATAAATTCATCGATGTGGGCATAGATCATGATCATCGTCCTCATGCTCGAAATTCTTACCAAAGCAGCGTCAATCCGTCCTGCGATCACATGGCCTTTTGACCATGTCCAACCAGCTGGATTGCATCTCTGAGGCTTCTTGGCCAGCGGCAGGAGAATCCAAAGGACCGGGTCCCAAGGTCTGCATTATCAGTTCCCATTTCCGGAGGAACGGGCTATGGGCCGGGTCATAAACTGGCTGTGGACGGTGGGTTTATGCCAAGTAGCAAGACAATGCAACAAGCAAAAGAATGCAAAAGAGACGTGGCAAAAACCAAAGCTGTGAATCTCTTTTGAGATTGCAAAATTGCATCAGTTGAGTCCACAGGGTAAGCTTCAAGTAATCTACCTAGGAGGTGCCAAAGGAAATCATCCTCTCACGACCTTGTCGATGCACTCAGCAACGTACCTGAGACATCCGAAGAGGAAAACAATATAACTACAGTCAAAGATCTGGAAGACAAAGTGCGCAAAGTGTCATCCTATGATAGTGTTTTAGTACATGCAAGCTCCGCCTGGCTGATGATTATGACAGAGCTCTATATCAAACATAGTCTGGAGGCAGAAAGAGGACCATTCTGAGTTCTGACCTTCATGGATCTTCAGGGCAAATATATGACCAAGGATTCAATGCAAAGGTGCTCAACGTTTGAAGGATTCAATCCTGGCATCGAAATTCGGCCATCCAATGTCCTCAGGACTTGCTGTGACATCTCTGAGCCCTCTGAGCCATGCTAGTTCTGTTCATGGCAGGACTTGCTAGGTGGCGACATCTGACCAATTGCGACCACAACAACCTAGTCATGCTCAATTGCGAAAGCCCTGTCAGTCGAGCCCTTTCAATGTTAAACCCTGCGACCAATGCTGCAAAGTCCAAAACTAAGGCGTACAGGTGTCAATGAACTGCTGCACTCACATGACGCACGCGACATGTATTCAAACCACTCAAGCACGTTCTGAATAGTCCATTGTATCATGCATTTCAACAATTGTCTACCTCAATCATCTCTGGACATGAAGGTCTTTTGTTCAGAGGAGCTTTCGGCAATTTGAGGGTATCACGGTATCACATCAGACGAGCCGCATGTAGATGTGGAATTCTTCCACCATGCGCACAACTTGATCCTTCACAGTCGCTTTCCACATCCAAACTTGAGAAGAAACTCCAGAGAAAGAATGAATGGAGACCATTGGCTCATATCCGCTTTCATATAGGTTATTGCGCCATGATTGTTCATTGCTTGATTCATCCCAATTGGTGGTGATGTTTTTACTAATTTCTGAAAATACAACTCAGTCCACTTGCTCGTCAGCATTTCCCCAATTTGGAGGCACCATCCTCCATTTTCAGACACATACTTTCCCCATATTAATGAACATATCCAAATTCTTGATGGTGAAGGAGCACCTTGCTAAAGACACCAGCAATGTTCTCCAGTTCTGATTTCAGCAAAAATCTGTGATTTGCACAGACTTGAAGTAGATCTTAATATACACATATGGGGGTCGTCCAAAATTATGGTACCCGAAAACTGCCCTTACGCCGCGCTTTCGCGAACCTTTCGCACCCTTTCGCGCCCCAGCAGAATCGGGACATGGGATTATGATCGGGTTTTCGTGTGCAAATTCGTCACAAAGATTCACAGGAGGATTGTATTTAAAAACATTACTGATTGGAGATCCGTTTTCAAAGCTGCTCTAGTTACATTCCTGCTGTGCGTGATGAGTCTGTTCCAGTCCACAGTCTCGATGGCATTGGGCAAGTCAGTGTTCCTGTGAGGGCGTTTGACTTCTGGACATTGGTTTTGCACCCATTCTTTGAAAAAGATTTTGAAGTCGCGACAATGCAGAAAGAACTAGCCCATTTTGGGCCAGGGTTGGGTCCGGGAGGATTCGCCTTTCGCGAACCTTTCGCGGACCTTTCGCGAACCTTTCGCGGATTTCTCGTCTAAAAAATGAAATTTCAGAAACTAAATGTTTATGCAAGGGTGTCTTTTATAATTTATGCCAATCATGCAGGGTGCCACTGCCAATTGTCAGAACATGGGACAATACGAAACATGAATCCTGTGGCAATTCTGCAAGGAAAACTGCCAAATATGAATACTATGTAATATTTATAAATAGTGGTATTCAGACCTTTCGCAGACCTTACGCCGCGCTTTCGCGGCCTTTCGCCACTGCAGCAAAACACACACATCCATATCTGCAGATGTCACTCGGATACTAAAAGCCTTGCATGGGTTTTAGGACGACTCCCATATAAGATATTCATACCCGAATTCATATGCAAATGTAACTATGGATCAATAATATTCACAACTCATGAATATCATGGTGAACATGGCATATAACTTAACTATATACACTAGATCTATCTAGATCTAAAGTTACAGTAGTAGAGGAATTTTCATTCATCCCTGGCTGGCCTTGGTCAAGCCCGTGAAGGTGAACATGCCGATCTGATCCGTGACATGGTTCCAAGTTCCAGGAGTCCCCTTCGCCTCAATGGCCTACCAGGTCTTTCAGAGACAGGAGGAGACAAGGAGGAGACAAGGAGGGACAGGGAGAGGTTGAAATAATCAAACAATATCAAATCAATATCAAACATATCAGCAAAGTGTGTAATAAGATGTAATAAGTCAGGCAGGACTGTATTTAACTATATGATACTATATGCATTTGCATCATCGTCTGCACTGCCTAATTCATCTAGCAACCACTTTTAAGAGCGCTTGAAATGAAAAGCACTGTTGAACACACTAGACAACACACTAGTTGGGAGGAATGTCCTCAAAGTTGGCGTCAACGAACAGAAATTCAGAATGCATAAACCCACCCCATTTTTTGGTAGAAAGATAACATGGTTTCCGGAGACGGAACCCGATGCAACTTGTTCTCACCGGCCTTCCGCAGGGCCACCTCAGTGATTTGCTGAAGCAAAAACTGCGACTGTCAGTCACTGGACTTCATGGATTGTTAAAAGAATGGCAATTTATAATACACACACGTACGCACAACACACGTAAACACGACTATTATTATTATTATCATTATTAGTTTTATTACTGCGTATTATTATTATTATTAGTAGTAAATCAGAATATTTATTTATTTGTATTTTATTATATTACAAAGATTTACAAAGTATATCGGATATCGATATTATCGATATTGAATAATATTGATAGTGTAAAATGCTGCAACATTAAGATCAATGCCGGCACTGCTCAAAGCCCATGGGTCGATGTCAAGACACTCGCATGTCATTGATGCGATTCGACATGAAGGTCAGCTCCTTCAACCACATCTCTTTCAGGGCAGGAGTCGTCAAGACCTGCACCCAATGGCGGTGTCCAATGATGTCCAATGTGCACAGCAGAATCCACAGCAGGCCTTGTTCACAATGGAAGCACCATGCTTGGGAGGGCTCGAATAGGCCTGACCAAAGACCACAAGTGTGATGACATGCGATGAATGCTAGAAGATGCGAAAGTGAAATGCAGCTGCATGTTGAAGAAAAATGGTTGCACTCTGTCAGATTGAAGTTATATCATATCCTATCAAGGATAATTAATCAAAATATACAATGCTCAATACAATGCTCCAAGGCTTTACCTGACGCACGATGATCTTCATCTGCGACAACCTCAATCTCTGGAGTGCTGACTCGGAAACAATTGAAGCACCATTGCAAGCACGGAACTCGCGATGCTGGCTTGCTAATGCAAGCTAGACATTTTAAACTGAGCAGACTAAGCATCATCATAGAGACAAGCAACACGGCATCTGCTGCATCTTTCGAAGCACATCGTACATGAATGTAGCCAATGCGCTCTCCTTGAAATTTGCATTTTGACATTTTGCTTTAGCCAGTTCTAAGCAAGGCGACAGCGCTTGTGCATGCTTGTGCGAAACCTGTTAGGTCACTGGGAACGAGCAATCCTGATACAGTAGTGACCGTTGAATGGATAGTTAGCTGCAGCTCAACAGTTTCCAGTGGGATTCTCAATTCCTGTATTCCGGGAGTCCCAAACTTCCTTTTTTCCATGCTCAAAAATGCTCTGGCCCAGGACACTTTGATACAACATGATACAACCTGCAATTGCTCAATGTACTGTAGCACTTCTCTGCCAAGCGTCCGTACAGTCCGAAGTTTTTTGCGAATGATTGGGCCTATGTCATTGGATTTACATGGATTTGATTTACATGGATTTACATGGATTTACCGCTACCAAAATACAACAGCGATCAAAAGGGGCTAAATACTGAAACAAGATGAAACAAGACCATGCGCACGCTAAAGCTTGTGCCACCGACATGCATAGATCACCAAAGTTCGAATGACATGAAGCTCTTCAGCTTGTACGAAATACAAAAAGCCCAGGCGCGATGAAGAACTCCATGCCACTTTCTGTAAACCTCAGTTTGTACAGTTCATTGAGCTTAGAAAATGTCCCTTCATCCGCAGATTTCTGTCCGTTGACAGTGCCAATGCAACGAATCACAAAGGAACTTTGGTCAATGTCATAAAGATGCCCCTTGATTTCAACTGATTTCAATTTCAATCTTCAACTGCTTAATTGGTAATCAAGTTTCAACTGCTGAGAGTAGCCATCCTTTGCCAACTGACCACTCGCGTAGCCCTGGTAGGCGTTGTCGAGCAGTGGAATAAGCTTTCCTTTGGCAGCATCCATTCAATCCATAGATGAGTTTCAAACTGAGTTTCAAATGACATTGGGAGTGTTCCTGGCAATGTGATTGGGCCATTGGGAGCCTCAGGCACATCAAATGTGCCAGAAACTGGCTCAAGCACAGTTTCAATTGTCATATTTTCTCAAGATTCTTCTGTTTCTATGAATTTTGAGCACTGGAACCTTCATCTTGTACTATTTTTCAATGGTTGCTTGGTAGGATCTTGATTCTTGATCAGCAGTGATCACTCTGCAAGAGTCAAAGAGGTCAAAGTTCAAATGTCCTTACAATGAATTATTGCCTGTTTGGTCACCAAGATGCAAGCACATATAACTCGCACATCCGAACCAGAACGAAGGTCTTGAAAGGATGGAATTCCAGTGATGTGCGATGAATCATGAAACCACACATCAGATGAATTGGCTGCCATGATTCTCTCTTTGCAAGCTGCTACGATTTTCTGCCATTGTTCATTGGTAGGATCCACACCAGTAGGATTGTGGGCTACTGCCTCGGCTGCCGATGTCTTTTCTTCGGGCTTAGCAAACACTTCTGGCTTAGCACTTCTTCGGGGTAGTACAGTAATGTTCATATATCATCATATGTCAATTACGTGCTGTTTAGGGCAAGGGTTAATCATCAAGGAAACCAGCAATCTGCAACCCATCTGCCTAACTCAATATATTATATTTACAGCAGAGTCTCTCGATCCAGTACATATTAATTTAATCTACTCCCCAAGAAGCTCTGCAAGCAAGCTGCATGGAGCAAGATGCACTCACCCTCCTGGCCAGAAAAGAGTGGGAGATAGTGGGAGTACTGAGAGTATGTGGGAGTCGAAAAAAAACAAGTGAGTACAAAATCTTCCAACATTAAAGCTCATTGAAACTCAGGCTGGCAAGTTGCTCAAGCTCAAGATCATTCAAGATCATCGATCGTTCTCTATCAGTCCCTATCATTCCTTTGGATTCCTTTGGGCTCCTGCATCTTCTGGATACCAGCCATCATGCCTTCAAAGTCCAAACCTCGCTTTTCCTGGTGCCAGTATGGATAGGTGTCCTCGGCTACGAATGATACGAGTGCATTCATGTGTATATATACATATATATATATATATAGCCAAACATGGTAGGCGGTTGGAGAGATTCGAACAAATCGCAAGCAGAAATGACATGTCAACAACATCCCGTGACTGAGGTTTCTCTTGATCCGCCAGCCAATCATGACGACCCATTTCGGCTGCCGGGCGTCACATTCCAGAAGCGCTCGCTGGAAGATCTTGGGATGGTTCCCCCAGGTAGGATTTGGACACCAGACCTAAGTCAGCCAAAGGCTTCAACACCATCCGTGAATCATTTGAATACCATTTGAACACCTATTGCACCACTACATCATCAATGAAAATCCAAACCTGAGGTTTCTGCCTTCGTGACGCCCATAAATTTCAAGAATTGGGCAATGCACTGCAACGAGCCGGTGCCGGACAATGCCTGGATGGTTACAACCGAACCACCTCAGTTTGGACTGCAAGTGTAGCATGTTGCAACAGCTAGCCACATGAATCACTTTGTGCCAAGAAATTGCTGGCCGAGAGTCTGTCGATGACATCCTTGCTGAAGATCAACCTCAGATTGGTGACTGAATCTCTGATCAATACGATCAATGGATGCCGAGGAAACCAGCAAGGTATCTACCGGGCAACTCTTGAACCGCCCTCTTGTACTCTTGTTTCCCATCAATGGGTTGGTACTCCTGGACAAGAATGCCAAATGATGCAGCGCTGATGCTGGCCATCAGGAACACATCATTGTAGCGAAGCAGTTTGCTTCAAGCGGGTCCTTGTCTTGGGTGGTGTCACTGACAACCTCGGCCACAGTGGCACCGCCAGTGATACAAACATGATTACAAACGCACACAAAAATTATCCCGGCAAGACCCCAAACAGTGTGTAGTTGGGATTCTGAATGGAAAGGTGGAAAGGATTATAGAGCATGGGGTTCTTTCAAGGTGGTCTCTGGAAGAAGAGATACCAAGCCAGATCTCTGCAGAGGATCGTGCGCAAGATCTCCTTGACAGGTTCTCTGTGCAAGATTCCTTTGTAGTGGTGTCTGTAACAGGTGTCTATAAGAGATCTCCACAAAGATCTCTGTAAAAGATCTGACCGTAAGATCCCTGTTCAAACTCTAAAAAAATCTGTGAGCAAGATCTCTGTTCTCTTCACCAGGTTTCTGTACAAGATCTCTATATCTCTATAAGAAGTCTCCTGGGAAGGTCTCTGTACACGATCTCAAAAAGAGCTCTGCTGGCAAGCTCTCTGCAACAGACCTCTTGGCAAGATCTCTGCAACAGATCTCTATGCAATGTCTCCGTACAAGATCTCCACAAGAGGTGCCCCGGCAAGATCTCATAAGATCTCTGTACCCGATCTTTATAAAAGGTCTCTTGGCAAGATCTGTTTCGGAGATCTCTGCGCAAGCTCTCTATAAGAACTCTCTTGGCAAGATCTCAACAGATGTACAAGATGTCTAGAGGTCTTTTCGCAAGATCTCTGTACAAGCTCCCTATAAGTCTATCATCTGTCTCTTGGCAACATCATCAAGAGATCTCCGTACAACCTCTCTATAAGAGCTCTGTTGGCAAGATCTCTGTAAGAGAGCACTTGGCCAAATCTCTGTACAAGATCTCTCTAAGAGCTCTCTGTACAAGATCTCTACAATTAAGAGGTCTCTGTGGCAAGATCCCTGTGCAAACTCTCTATAAAACACCTCTTTGTCAAGGTTTCTGTACAAGATCTCCTTGACTATCAAAATGCACACCGAACCGCCACAACGAGAGCGATAAAGTGCCGAGAGCGTTGCGCGAGGGATCTCAAAATTCGCACCGCGCCCAAGACAGTTGAGCGAGCGATCTCAAAATGAGCACCGAGCCGCCACAACGAGAGGCCCAAAGTGCTGGGTTGCGCGACAGGTCTCCGAGCCACCGCTTCGTGCGAGACTTCCGTCAAAACGGAAGATGAAGGAGTTTTTGTGCTGTAGTAAGGAGGGTTATCAAAAACGGCGCACACGTATGAGACCACCTCGAATCAACACCTACCGTAAGAACGCCAAGTGTGGCCACACTGGTCGGGGGGCAAAATAAAACCAACACGTGGCGACCCCTCCACGCCAGCACCTTGTCCACAAATCTCCCTCCGTGCGACTCCTTGTGCAACGCCTATCACTAGGACGCCGCACCAACTTCTCTGCCTCAGCCACCGAAGGAAGGATCCACGGTTTGCCCTCTTCACTGCGGTAGGCGCCGACGCTCAGATTCACCTGAAAATGTCGAAATGTCAGGAAATGTTAGGAGATATCATCATCATCATCATCATCATCATCATCATTATCATCACCAACAACATCATCAACAACATCATCATCATCAACATCATCATCAACAACAACATCATCATCATCAACAACGTCAACATCATCAACATCATCAGCATCATTTACATCAGCATCATTATCAACAACAACAACAACAACAACAACATCAACAACAACATCAACATCAACATCAACATCATCTACATCATCATCAACAGAAACATCATCAACAACATCATCAGCATCACCAACAACATCCTCAACATCATCATCATCATCACCATCATCATCATCAACATCATGGTCAACAACAACGACATCAACATCATCTACATCATCATCAACAACATCATCATCAACACCCCCAACATCATCTACATCATCTACATCATCATCAACAACATCACCATCACCAGCATCATCAACAATCAGCATCATCATCATCATCATCATCATCAGCAAACAACATCATCTACATCATCTACATCATCTACATCATATACATCATATACATCATCTACATCATCAACAACATCTACATCCGCATCATCATCATCATCATTATCATCACCAACAACAACATCAACATCAACATCATCAACATCATCTACATCATCATAATCATCAACAACATCAACAACATAATCTACATCATCATCAACAACAACATTATCAACAACATCATCAACAATATCATCATCAACATCATCAACAACAACATCATCATCAACAACAACAACATCATCAACAACAACATCATCATCTACATCATCTACATCATCATCAACATCAACATCATCAACAACATCGTCATCAACAACATCATCAACATCATCATCAACATTAACAACATCATCATCAACATCATCATCAACAACAACAACATCATCAACATCATCATCATCATCAACATCATCATCAACAACAACATCATCTACATCATCTACATCATCATCAACAACAACATCATCAACAACAACAACAACAACATCATCATCAACATCATCATCGACAACAACAACATCATCATCAACATCATCATCAACAACCACATCATCTACATCATCATCATCAACAACATCTACATCATCAACAACAACATCATCAACAACAACAACATCATCATCAACATCATCATCAACAACAACATCATCATCAACATCATCATCAACAACCACATCATCTACATCATCATCATCAACAACATCTACATCATCAACAACAACATCATCAACAACAACAACAACATCATCAACATCATCATCAACAACAACAACATCATCATCAACATCATCATCAACAACCACATCATCTACATCATCATCATCATCAACAACATCTACATCATCAACAACAACATCATCAACAACAACAACATCATCATCAACATCGATCATCAACAACAACAACATCTACATCATCAACAACAACATCATCAACAACAACATCATCATCAACATCATCATCAACAACAACATCATCATCAACATCATCATCAACAACCACATCATCTACATCATCATCATCAACAACATCTACATCATCAACAACAACATCATCAACAACAACAACATCATCAACATCATCATCAACAACAACATCATCAACAACAACATAATCATCAACATCATCATCAACAACAACAACATCATCATCAACATCATCATCAACAACCACATCATCTACATCATCATCATCATCAACAACATCTACATCATCAACAACAACATCATCAACAACAACAACATCATCATCAACATCGATCATCAACAACAACATCTACATCATCAACAACAACATCATCAACAACAACATCATCATCAACATCATCATCAACAACAACATCATCATCAACATCATCATCAACAACCACATCATCTACATCATCATCATCAACAACATCTACATCATCAACAACAACATCATCAACAACAACAACATCATCAACATCATCATCAACAACAACAACATCATTATCAACATCATCATCAACAACAACAACAACATCTACATCATCATCATCAACAACATCTACATCATCATCAACAACAACAACATCATCATCAACATCATCATCAACAACAACATCATCATCAACATCATCATCAACAACAACATCATCTACATCATCTACATCATCATCAACAACAACAACATCATTATCAACATCATCATCAACAACAACAACATCTACATCATCAACCATCATCATCAACAACAACAACATCATTATCAACATCATCATCAACAACAACAACAACATCTACATCATCAACCATCATCATCAACAACAACAACATCATCATCAACAACAACAACATCACCATCATCAACATCATCATCAACAACAACAACATCATCAACATCATCATCAACAACCACATCATCTACATCATCATCATCAACATCATCAACATCATCATCATCATCAACATCATCATCAACAACAACATCATCTACATCATCTACATCATCATCAACAACAACATCATCAACAACAACAACAACAACATCATCATCAACATCATCATCGACAACAACAACATCATCATCAACATCATCATCAACAACCACATCATCTACATCATCATCATCAACAACATCTACATCATCAACCATCATCATCAACAACAACAACAACATCATTATCAACATCATCATCAACAACAACAACAACATCTACATCATCAACCATCATCATCAACAACAACATCATCAACAACATCATTATCAACAACAACAACAACAACATCTACATCATCAACCATCATCATCAACAACAACAACATCATTATCAACATCATCATCAACAACAACAACAACAACATCTACATCATCAACCATCATCATCAACAACAACAACATCATCATCAACATCGATTATCAACAACAACAACAACAACATCATTATCAACATCATCAACCATCATCATCAACAACAACAACATCATCAACAACAACATCATTATCAACAACAACAACAACAACAACATCTACATCATCAACCATCATCATCAACAACAACAACATTATCAACATCATCATCAACAACAACAACAACTACATCATCAACCATCATCATCAACAACAACAACATCATCAACAACAACATCATTATCAACAACAACAACATCTACATCATCAACCATCATCATCAACAACAACAACAACATCATTATCAACATCATCATCAACAACAACAACAACATCTACATCATCAACCATCATCATCAACAACAACATCATCAACAACATCATTATCAACAACAACAACAACAACATCTACATCATCAACCATCATCATCAACAACAACAACATCATTATCAACATCATCATCAACAACAACAACAACATCTACATCATCAACCATCATCATCAACAACAACAACATCATCAACAACAACATCATTATCAACAACAACAACAACAACAACAACAACAACAACAACAACAACAACAACAACATTATCAACAACAACAACAACAACAACAACAACATCTACACATTCAACCATCATCATCAACAACAGCAACATCATTATCAACATCATGATCAACAACAACAACAACAACAACAACAACAACAACAACAACAACAACAACAACATCTACATCATCAACCATCATCATCAACAACAACAACATCATCAACAACAACATCATTATCATGATGACATCATGAAATTCAGCCGGCCTTCTTTTCGGCTGGGTCTGCCTTAAATCTCGCCACCAATCCCAGGATGGGATCAGCAGGGGCCTGCCCACAATGGTGACAACTAGGGGAGCCACATGGGAACCACATGGGAACAGCCCAGCCTTGGGCACACTGGCAAAGATGCTCATGATCAAATGCCTCACAGAGACCCATGGCATTGTCCAGATCTTCCACTGGCTGGTCACTTTTCTGCGCTGAGTCCGTATCCCAAGCTCTATCCATATCTATCGATCCCGTTCACACCACAAGAAGGAACACACAGCGCAGGAACATCAATCATAACAATGGTTCATGTTGAATATTGTTGAATATTGTTGAATCGTGTTAAATAGTGTTGAATATTGTTGAATACTGTTGAATTATTTGTTGTATAATATTGTTGAATATTGTTGAATGTTTTGGAGGTCTGATTAATCTTGGTACAAAACCCCAAGCTCCCGGGTCCCCCTTGGCAGGCCTACAGCGCCGAATTCACCGAGACAATGCACTGAAAAAATCTACTTGAAGCTGAAGCTCCACAGAAAACCGTGTCACAACAGGCCACCACAGGTTCAAGTCAGGCTATCATCACTGTGTTTAAATCCCCACAGGAATCTTTATGTCTAGATATGGATCGAAACCATCCTATGATATTCCACTGAAGGGAGGATCAACGTCAAAAGTACCAGCTGGTTTGATGTTCAGCAGGATACGAGTACCTAGGTCTTGACCCAACGCTGGTGGAGCATGAACCAGCTGTGAAGATTGGTGGATAACACACCGGTGTGCTTCTGGGCCTAAAACGATATGCCCAGGACACCAGTTGAAAGTCAAACGAGAGCAGAAAACATGAGAAAATGAAGCCTCATTTAGAATTAATTGAAGCGCATCTCTGCCTCACTGCATGTCCAAACTACATCAAACTACTACGTACCGATTTGGAAGCAACGCTTCTTTTGATACGGAGGCTGCCTTCGCGACCTAGCACTTTGGCTGTTCTGGCCGTGGTCCTGAAGGTGTAGGGTTTGGAGGCACCACCCAGGTGTGGCACACACATCTTTCCAGCATGGCTTTTACTGCCTCCCTCAATTTGGTATTAATGATTTCTGCAGTAGATTGAAGTCATACCAAGTCGTACCTAGCTGGCTTCGCCTGAAAATAGTCTGACACCCTCAATCCTGTGGTTCACTGGATGTGTTTGAGGGAAACTTTACAGAAACCATAATTTTAAACTTCCAACATATCATTGTATATCCGCGGCAAATGTTCCCTTCAACCAATCAATTGAGTGGTTTACATTGGTTTATCATGGTTTATCATCATCTCCCCTAGAGCTATTATGAGCTATTCCTGGTATTTTGGTAGGGAATCCATGTGAATCCTGTTCCACACAGAAAAGCCGGGCACTCCTCCGGAGACTCCCAGTCCACCAAGGACTGCAGCTCTTCTGGCAGGGCCATCTCCACTTCCTCGGCCCCATTTTGGATGATTTATGGATAGTTTATGGATGTTTGGCTAATACTTGGGTCATGTTTTTATATGTTTTAATGAGAATTTAAGAAGGAAGTTTAGGACATACACCTGCTGTCAGATTGGTATGGAGTGTATCTTATTGATTCACGCTTATTTTTGTTCTCAGACAGTACTTGGACTGTGACTCGAGAAGTGAACTGCCCCACATTGCCTCATTCAGGGGAAAGTGTTGGTCCAACTTTGATAGATTCATAGCCGGATATCCAGGAAAAACAAGCATTATCATACACCCAGTATCAATCAGTATCAAGCATAAACAAACCATATAAACAAACGCTCCGGCGCGGCCGGCCAAGATCCCGGCTGGCTGCAGATCCAAAGCCTCCACTGCACGGGATTGGTTTGTTGAAAATATTTGGAAAGGGTCAGTTTTCTTTTGAAGATTTTGAAGCCTCCTCAAGTCAACTGTATGGTACTGTACTCATGTTAGGACTGAAAACTCATATCCCAGAACAGCATCCCCACTCACATCACTAACATCTTGGGCTCCCCTGCGGCGCAAACCACCCCGGCGGAGGTCAAGGCTGCACCTGGCTGCGCGTGGCTTGTTTGAGGAACTTCTGCACCAGGTTCGAGTGACATATCTGCGAATCAGATCATGAGAATGTCAGGAAATCGACATGGAAAATCATGTCAGCAGTATAGCATTTGGTGCAAGCTACCAACTACATCCAACTACAGTGCATAGGGCACCTGCAAACCACCAGGTCGAAAAACTATGCTCCTTCAGCACCACCTAAGGCTTGTTGGAGCTCATCGTACACAGCTGTTGGCTGATCAAAACAATTCAAAACACGTTTCAAATCGTTTCAAGACTTCTGAGGTGGCATAGCATGGGCTGGTGGTTGTAGTTTCCCGAAACCCTTGTTTAAACATGTCCGGCCCGAATGCATAGTAGTATGGAGTGGGGACAGAAAGTCAGGCACCATACAGTACCATCACTTTTACTTCTCAGCCATTCTCAGCGTATGGCTTGAGCCCATCCGATCTCTTGCGGTTGTTCCAGCGTCTACTACTCTGCCATCGGCTACTCATCTGCAGCTCATCAGCTTCCACTTCAGAATTTCTCAGCATGTCGCATCTCGAAAGCCCACCAGCAAGACATCTGCAGTTCGATTTCTCAAATCTACGCCGTCGCCTCCAATGGCCTTCATGGGTTCCCCCGATTTCCCTGGTACTCAGCCGCTCAACTGTCGGAGCGGTACTCTGCCCAGGTCTCTCGGACCGTCCGCCAGCAGCTCCTGGCCAGTGAAGATGGAGCTGCCCAATAGGTGGAAAAGTGTTCATTGTGCTAGTTGTTGATTTCAAAACTATATCGGAAGGGCCAGGACCTATATTCAATATTATATATATATATACACATCATGTGTATGTGGTACATGTGTATAAGTATATATATATAGAGAGAGAGAGGCATCCTGAGAATGTGTGTATATAATATTATATATATATATATGTATAAATCACAAGAATGGTTATATTCCAAGATCATCTAAGATTATAAAACTACACCAGTGATATGAGTCAAGGCTCAAGAGCATTCAAGACACTCTTGTTTGCAAACCGTTGTGGTTGTGGAATGTTATTCATCCCTAAATACAGATGGTCCCTTATGTACGCAGTCCGATGCACCCAAACCTGAAGGTTTGGGCCCAACCAGGGAGTATCCTGTTCCCAATCGCCTGAGTCGAAACGAAAATCTACAGGAAACCATTCAAGAATAGAGGCTTCCTGTAAAATCCTTACTGTAACTATATATATTCTTACATATATACATGTATGTATAAATATTATATATATACATTGTATATATATATATATACGTATATATATATAATTACTGTGATAATTGCATAATGATGCATAATGTATCATATCAATTCATATCATATGTGTACCACTACCATCAACTGGTTTTTGGCACCTCATGAGGCCAAGAGTTGTCCTCTCATCGAAGGCATCCCCTAGGATCAAGGCCGCATACGCGCAGAAGATTGTGGAAGCATCCCGGGCACCAGAAAATTTCAGAAGATCTCAGTTTATCCATTCCTATCCATGAATATCCATGAATAGTCTTGGATGATCTTGGATGCAACATCCCATAGATTATCATAGATTTCTGCTGCAGATTTTGCATCTTGGTCACACCCCTGTGAGACCTTCCCTGCCTCGCGAAGCTGCGAAGCCCAGAGTCACATGGCAACCCTGGCGCACTTCGAGAGGTTCGGGATTGAAATGGATGACTGTGGTACCTCCATGTACCTCCCCCATTTGAAACCTGGATGAATCAAGGACATGCAGTCTCTGTGGCAAGGTATGGCTAGAATCGCTGCTTTGAAAGATGACAATACCAGCTACCGCACTAGACCCTAGACTCCTCCTGCAGGCAAAATATGTGGTGCGAGTGCATTACCTACTTTCTGTCACACTCGGATCAGGCACTTCTTCAAATCGGAATCATCGCAGCAAACTGCCTTAGACAACTGCCACAAAGGAGTTGCATTGTCAACCTTGGCATCGGCTTCTCAAGCGTTACAACGAGGTGACTGGATCCAACAAATCGCAGCAATGTTGATCGCAGTTCTTGGATGTTCCATGTAAAAATTGTGAAAACAAAAACACAACACGACGCGACACGACCACATGGACATGAGATGATATGGGTAGAGGGTAGAAGTTGAGGAATCCCAAACCTGGGGATGATCCCTCTCAAAGCCATGGCTTCCCGACAGCACGGGGTGCCGCATCTTCTGCGCCTGGCTTCACATGCTGCAAGATTGTTCCTCCCAATAGTTTGAAGGGTAGCTCAGTAATTATGACTAAAACCCTTGATATCCAATCTATTACTACCCACAGAAATTCTCATGTTTGATCTGAACACATTCATCTTGGGGATGTGTTATGATATTATTGGGATATTATGGGTGCAAATAAATAAGTAAACATAGTATTTCTATACATATATATTATATGTATATAAATAACTATAACTGTACTATATATATATATTGTTATATATATATATTATTAATATGAGTTCTTCAGTCTTTTCTTACACCCATACCCAGTTGACTAAGTGTTGACTTTCAGCACTTCGGTTTGGACAGCCCCAGAACTTCGGCCTATTCTCAGGTCGCCACGAAGTGGTCGGCCAAAGCACCGGCGAGCCTGGGCTGCGGTTCGGACTCTCCGTAGGATGTCAAAGGATTGGCAAAGCTGTGATCATTAAAGAAATCCATGAAATTCCATGGGAAAATATCATGGTCCAGTGCCCTATCAATTTGGGTGTCACTATGTGTCACTATTATCTTTGACATTCTTTGACCAGACCCAAAAGGCCTTTTGCCATTTCCGAAGAAAACGGGCTGCTGCCTTGATCCCTGTGGCCCACGCCATGCCAACTGTCGCATCGGCAGGTAGCGTCACACAGCGTTTGTGATCACCTGAAAACTGGAAACAGTGTGTCTGGGTCATCTCAGCATCGGTCATCGCGTTTTGCTTCACAAATCGGACTAAATGGGATGAGTCAAAACCAGGTCAAACCAGGTATCGAACCAAATCCAAAAAAATGGATATGGATAAAGTATTATGATAAAGTACTACCAGCAATTACTAATTACCCAAATTTAAGTAATATGTACAGTATGGCTCCAAAAAGCTCAAAACTTGATGTCCCAAATTACTTGTGTTGAACTCAGCGACACTGCAGTGCCGCACCGGATGTATCGATGGCTGGCACTCTCGACTCTCCCAGCAGCCCAGTACCTAGTGTGGCAACATCAGGAGAGTGACCATTTGGATCCTCTTGGTACATCCATTTGGGTACGGGTCAAAATTTGGTACCCCAGTATACCCTGATTATAGAGCTATCCGTCTATCCAGCCCCTGCACAGGCCTTCAGTAAATGTTCCAAATTGATCCAAGTTGTTGAATCTCGAGGAATGGAAACGATCGGCTGGGTAGTCGAGACGTTACCGCTCCGGTTTGACCCATATTTGGAGATAGACATCACTGTATAGACTAAAATCTGTGGTCCCCTGGTCTCAAATGCGATAAAGCCATATCCCAACCAAATCCGACAAAACTCCAGGAAGCTCGAAAAACAAATCAAAAGACAATCTCACCTCGCTCCACCAGAAGGGTGTAGAAGCTCTTTGCCTTGCGGCCAACTCCCAAATGGGTCGTCAAAACTTTGGGTAATGTTTTGCAGTTTTGTTTCCCAGTTTCTTTTACCTGTGTAAACTATACAAGTATCTAAACAACCACCAAAAGTTCTAAAGAATTGAGGGTGTGTTACTCGCAAATAAGTAGCTTTGATCCCATTTTTTGTGACTTTATTTCTTCACGAATCTGCCACAGTAAGCATTAAAAGCTGAGTTTGCTGGGCCGCCTGCTGTCCGCGCAAGATTCCAACGAGATGATACTGGCTTGATGACTTCATGCAAGAGTGCAGTAGTCCCGTTTCCCGCTGTAATCCAGCCCCATCAAAGCCTCGTCACTCTCTAGCAGCACATGGAATTGTTTGCAATCCCGCTCCGATCCGGCATGCATTGCTGCTGGTGTCATGCCAAGTGGCCTTTGCAAGCTGCGATTTCTTGCCTTGCTATTAATGATACATTATGATACTCTATGTGAGGTGCAAGGTCGACTCTCATCTTCAAAGTGCGATTTATTTGTGGCGGTGTGTGCACAAATTCAAACCTACTCAGAAAGCTGAGAGCCAAGCACAGACATTTAGTATCATCCAGTCAAGTCAAAGTGAGGACCTATGAGCTTGAATCCTATGAGGAACATCTATCTATGACAACAGCCTTCTTGTGCAAGCCAAAGCGCTTCTCATAGGTATGTCCAAACGTCTGGGATTAGACTTCGGATAGACATTTTGACTTGAAATGACTTGAAACAAATGCCCCGTCGCTCAGCCACACAAAAGAAGGGTTTGCATCTTTGGATTTCCAAACTCTTGAATCATCTTGAATCTGCATGTGTGTTGCTGACTTGAGCAGCACAATCTCCAACCAGAGGTGATCCGACATCCGAGGACTGAGCTGCATCAACAGACGCGGAGAGCGGAATGGAGAGGGAAAGGCCCAAGTTCGCCATGGTTGGACTCAACCTTCCAGGAATGCTGCTGGTCTCTGGATGTCTCTGGTGATGTTGAACTTCTCTTGAACTCTCAACAACATGCTGTTACAGAAACGTTGCAAAGAAAATGCAGTGGACTCAGTGGCCCAATTTTGGGATGAGGCTTTGCACATCGACGGCGGCCACTAGCTCACACTTTCTCCGCAACTCACCAAGAATCCCGTCTGAAACAGGTGCAGCATTTGCATGCATTTGCTGCTAACCTGCTAACCCATACTAAGCCTGCAGTATCCAAACCATGGTAAACTTTGTACCACTATGATCTCGCAGCTTCCATGACACACTTGCATCTACCATCGAATCTACAACTTGCAATCATCTATCATTTACAATCAACAATAAATACCTGCAGCTTGTCCAAAACAATCTGCTTCCACACAGTTTTTCATGTTTCCACCTCAATGCCCATAGCCATCAACTGCACAGGTGCTCACCGAGGCTTTTGCGGCCGCTGCATTCTGCAGCATGGAACGGCAGCGTGGAACGGCAGTGTGGAACGGCAGCGTGGAGTGCGCCAACGGCAGCAGCCGCAACGGCAGCTGAATGGAGCACGGCAGCGTGGAACGGCAGCGTGGAACGGCCGCGTGGAGTGCGCCAACAGCCGCACTCCACGCGGCCGTTCCATGCTGCAGAATGCAGCGGGGTCTGACCTCAGCACTGGCAGCGTGGAACGGCCGCGTGGAGTGCGCCAACAGCCGCACTCCACGCGGCCGTTCCATGCTGCAGAATGCAGCAGGGTCTGACCTCAGCACTGGCAGCGTGGAACGGCAGCGTGGAACGGCCGCGTGGAGTGCGCCAACAGCCGCACTCCACGCTGCCGTTCCATGCTGCAGAATGCAGCGGGGTCTGACCGCAGCACCGCAGGCGATGGAGGCACCACCCGCGGCGGACGTCCACGGCCGCGCCCTTCTCCAGGAGAAATTCGACGACCGCCGTGTGGTCGGACCATGCTGCCGGAAGAGCCATCAGCGGGGAACAAATTGATGTGTAAGGCTTACTAGGCCTTTGAGCAGAAACTTTGCAGCTGTCTGCAGCAGATTCAACAGGTGCCACAAGGAGGTATGCTAAGATACTGCAACAACATACTTGAACTATAGAATATCCAACAGAAATCAACAGAATATCCACAGAATATCCTAAACATAAACCTGATCTTAACTGAATGGCATCAATGCTGTAACTTCCGCAAGGTCCACCTCAAGAGAGCGCAGGAGTAGAGGTAGTTTGCAAAAAGGCACCTGACCAAGAAGCCATGGTCAGCAAAAGGTAAAGATAAGAGAGATTGTTCATGTATGTTCGTGTCATCACTAAACAAAATCAACAAAACCTTATGAAGGCTGGCAGAAGGGACCTTAACAGACTTCAAAGACTTGCCAAGTTCGCATATTTCGCATCTGAAATGTGGACTATATGTAGGGCTGAGCTGAGCAACGTACCCCAGGCTTGCATTCAAAACCAGCATCGCAAGCACTTGTCGATCTGGGAGCCTCCAGCAGTGCTGACAGTCAGTTCCATTGAATGAACCTCACCCACCGTGCCTCAAAAGCTCAAACTGAAGCAGATTGGCAATACCCAATCTGGCATAAAAAGCTGCAGAGCTGAAAAAAGAGAAACAAACACATTGGGAACACAGCCCTTTTCGCAATCTTGGTGCCCAAGTTTCCTTGCGGTTTCCTGAAGAGACCAACGAAACTTCTCGCGTTTCCTGAAGTCCTGGTGGAAGCGTGCGAAAACAGGCCGGGGACACATGAATGGCGTAAATGCCAGTGCCAGAACTCCATTGAGGCCTGCCACCGAGCGGCAAAGTGTTACGAAAGTTGGCGGCAAACAAAGCCTGAATGTTTCTTCAATGATTCGCTGCCCACCCATCTCTCTTGAACCCCTGAATGGTTGCATTTCAAGATGGTTGGACTCTAAGGAAAAACATCGTGGAGGTGCCTAGAAAGAGTCCAGGATCAAAGTTCTGCGGACTCAACTTGTCCAGAAGCACTGAGCAAAGAGAGAACCTGGGCATGGGTCCAGCACTGAGTCTTCAGAGCCAAAAGGCGTCCATGAAAGACTCAAGCTCCAGAGTTGTATCAACCAGAGAAACCGCAAGTCACAGGCAAAAAGTGAGCGCTACCTTTACAAACATACTTGTACCATCCTTTTTTGTAGTATCCCAAGTCACCCAGCTCAGCTCATGTAGTCTCCTCATCCAATCGACTACTTGTACGGTGATCGCATGCCAAGTAGCAATGCAGCAGATGCCAAGGCAAGCACCGTCCCGGGCCAAGTGGTCTGGACAGGGGAATGTGGGGTAGTGCTTGTCCACACTTTGGTGTGTCCGCCGCCATTCTTTGCTCATTCCATATCCATTATTTTACATCAGGGCTTGACATTAGACCTTCGAATGATGCCATGATGTCATGATGTCACACATGAGCAAACATAGTCACTGGAAAGGACTGCTTGGAGGATCATTCCAATTAGTAAGATGTTGATAATCAATGATAATCACAGTTATAACTTTAAACCTTTTGGGGGGGGGGCTTGAAGGGTACCCTTCGGAAGGATACCTTAAGGGGGCTTCGAAGGGTACCTTAAGGGGGTGCTTAAGGGGGGGGCTTAAGGAGGGGGCTTAAGGAGGGGCTTAAGGGGGGCCTTGAGGGGGGCTTAAGGGTGGGCTTAAGGGGGGGCTTGAGGGGGGGCTTGAGGGAAGGTCTGAAGCCAAAAATGGGAACAAAGAAGCAACACATAACAACGTAGAACACCTATGTTATAGATCCGTATGGGTCAAAACACTCATCCTGGTTGATGGCGGGCCAATGGGCCACAGGCTACCAGGAGAAGTAGATGATCTGTAAAACCACCAAGCAGGGGACCATCAGCTTTTCTTGGCTGCTCCCTCAATATCAACGAACAGTTCTGGAAACTTGAAGTTTCTTGAGTTTTGTTCGAGATGTTCGAGCCGCAAACTGTCTATGAGCTCTATGTTACGGTGATGCGGTGGTGCCAAATTCAAATTCATCTACGATCATTTAGGATCAGTGAATTTAGAACATACTAGTATCTAGAATCTACATTATGTACAGTAAATGAACATCAAACTGCTGCAGCGTCAGGCAGTGACTGGCAGCACTTCCCTGAGAAAGCCACATGTACAGCTCTGGCGGATGCATCCACTGGTGCCTGCAAGGCAGCACATCAGATCCCAGCCATTCCTTCATCCAAAATGGTTCAAAAATGGTGTTAGGAAATTAGTCATCCAGTGAAATCTATTGAAATCTTAGATCTCAGATACTTTTCTGCACCAACTAGTACCTCCGCTCCCATGAGACTCCTACAGTTGGGGCGGCTTTGGCCCCGTGCCCGGCAGCATTGACCAGTTCAAAACGCCACCGAGGCGTGGCTCGTGACCACGTGACCATGCAGGTGAAACACCGACATCCAAAAAACATCCGACCAGCGGAGCCGGATCAAAGTGGCTGCGGATCTTCTGGAGATGGAATACCTGCTGCACCAGCGCGTCGTCAGTCCAAGAACTGCTAGGTGATTTCCATTGATTTCCACGTGCAGCTGAGTGCACCAAGAGGCAAGGTAACAATCGGTAACAATCATGAATAGTCATGAATAGTGTATGGCTTGATGTGGTCCAACACAAGCTTGGGCGATGAGCTTTGACCCAGTTCACAGTCTCGCCCAGGGCTCACCGCGTGTGGATGGCGCCATGTCCATGTTTTCTGCCCCTGGCAATGGGCCCTGGCATCGGCGAAACTGGGATTCACTTTAAATGTTGGGAGGGAAAATCCAACACAATCAACCAACCAAATCCAACCAGTGCAGTTTCCACGCTGTGATAACATGCCCTGGCCGGCCGCAGCTTCTCTTCCGACTCCGTTCCTCAACCACAGGTTGCAAATCAGTTGCAAGTGCATCCTTTGAAACTGATCTGGCTGGTGGTTCCAAGTTTATCCCAAGAAAATGAATCACTTAATAAAATCAACATATCTCAAAATCCGCCGACCCCGGCCGACAGCAAGGCAAGGGGGAGCAGGGCGAGCGCATCAGAGAAGGAGTATGCTTAAAGAAGATTTTTTGCAGGCACTCGTTTCAGGAAGCGGGAGGAAATAAAACTGCCAAACCATCCGGTCTCTGCCCTGTTTCAAGCCACAACACTGAGACCCGGGCGAGGCTTCGCTTTCAATGATGCGTTGCAAAAAGTCAGCCTTTTGGAACTCCACAAACTTTGGAGACAATAAACATCGCCCAGGGGTGTCAGCTTGAGTCATTGAGATGTCTTTCTCACTATCTACCCACGAATTCTGGATTGGTTTCCCTTTCTATCATTCATGTGAGACAAAATTTCATAAAAAACCAAAGGGTTTCAATCTCTTTCCACTATGTTCCACTATCTTCCACTGGCTCAACCATGAGGCTGTTGATCATGAGCCCTGTGGAAATCCCCACCTTCTCTTCGAGCTTTTGGCTAGGAGTCTCCTGAGAGGTGGAAATTGGGCATTGGGCATCTGACTTCACCAGCAATGTGTCTAAAATATATTGAATCAAGAGTGATGCTGGTCATGCTAGTCCCTTCCATATCCACACAACTTTTGGCTGTGTCTTTGATCCATCGAATGCAGGCCTCGAAAGGAGCAGCTTGAAGGACTGCCTGCCAAACCGACAATATCGACAATTGTGGAAGATTGAACATATCGCTCTTTTACATTCTTTTGCAACACTTCCGTCTTCATGTCCTGAATTCATGTACCAAGACAACCCGCAACACAGACTTGCCTCGGAGAGCATAGCCTCGGAATTCAGACGATCGAAAGCTATCTTCGCATGGGAGCTATCTTCGCATGGGAGCTAATTGGCAGAATAGGAAAATTGATCTTGGCAGAGAGGCCTGAAGCCAAGGGCAAGCCATCGCAGTAGTCTGAGGTTGGGGCCGAAACCCGTGGTAAAACCTCATGGATGCAAATTTCGAGACTTGATGATAGCTGTTTGTTTTATATAGAGGTCTTTGGCCAACGGATGACACCCACAGGGTCCAAGTGATCCAACAAGAAGCACCAGCTCTATGAGCTGTCAAAGAGTCGATTCGCTGATGTGAAGCCTACTGTATTCTACTTGGCATCTCGTGGGCAACTAATTCCTAAACGACGCTCCATTGATGTTGACTAGGATTTTATGTAAATTAATGGGGGCGGGTAATTAAATGTACAGTAATTAAACCATGGACCTCTCAGACCCATGGAAAACAAGTGCATTCTACTTAGACCTATCTGGTGACTCTACAATAGCGATTTAGCAACACATGTGTGTATCGAGAACCAGGCGTGTGCCCTCCGGTACTGCGCCGCTTCATCTGCGACGTTGCCCTGGGCGAAGGTGGATACTGATGTTGGCGGAATGTACATCAACATTTACCCGGAAAGTTTTCCCTACTGGAACTCCGTACATCAACGATGGGAGAAAGTTACCTCAATTGTTTTGCCCCATGTAACTCCAAACTATCCCTGTCAATATGTCTCAACAACATTCAACAACATCATCACCCTACACCTCATCATCCTCAACATCATCATTCACAACATCATCATCTTCCTCCCCCTTGACATCATCATCCTCCACCTCGTCTTCCGCAACATCATCCTCCTCCACCCCATCTTCCGCAACATTATCATCGCAACATCATGGTCCGCAACATTTTCAACCTCATCCTCATCATCATCATCATCACAATCATCATCATCATCATCGTCATCATCACCATCATCATCCACATTATCATATATTATCTTCCCACTCCCCCACACTGTTTGGGGTCTCTTGCCGGAATATTTTTACATGGTATTGATCCGTGTTCTTCATGTTTCCTTTTTTTAATAGTGTTCGTCCTTTTCCTTCATTGAACCATTCCTCATGTGCTCATCATTGTGTTCATCCAAGTTTCACAGCAACCATTCTCACTAGGGATTTGCATCATATGGCTAGCAAAAAGCATCAAAAAGCCATGAATTTGAAATGGAAAATGCTTTCATCCCAACGGCAACGCATGTCGATGCGCTTTCCTCAATTACCTTCCCCAAACATAATCTTTCAATGACATCAAATACAAGAGTGGAAGCGGTAAGGATACGCATGTTTCAATTTTTAGTACATCATAGTAGATCTATACCAAACAATATCAAACAATATCAAACCATCCGATCTGGGAAATCCACCATCGCCCGGAACATGTTTGCACCATGTGGGGGTTGTTCAAAATTATGGTTCCCCAAAACTGCCCCTTTCGCTACCGCGCTTTCGCTACCCTTTCGCGCCCCAGAATCGGGACAGAGAATTATGATGTCTTCGTGTGCATGTTTCGTAATAAAGTGGTACATCAACAGTAGTATTCAGACCTTTCGCGAAACCTTGCGCTTTCGCAGCCTTTCGCTCCTAAGGTAAAAACACACGGCCATATCTGCAGATGTCACTCGGATTCACTCGGATACTAAAAGTCTTGCATGGGTTTTAGAATTTTTTAGAACGACTCCCTGAAGTCCGCGCACCTGATCCTGCATGAGCAGCGTTGCCACGTGCCTCTCTATGACTTCCTCGACTTCCATGTTGCCCATCTGACGCCAAGACAGTACACTGCACATGGCCACAGGTGCTCTAAGGTCACTATCTTAGCCTCACCGGAAAAGCCGTCAATCTCAATGTGCTAAACTTTAAGCCATGAAAACAGAATTTACTTGAATTGACCATCTTCCAGGCTTTAGTATGCAGAACACCATCGTTTTTGCTATGTTTTTCGCCATTCATCCAAAATAAACCAAAATCAAACCGGACTCCCCCCGCGGTCGATGCCTTCCGCGCCAGGCTTAGAGCTGTGATGCCATCCACTTGCCTCACCGTCGCTTTGAAGAGTGCAATGATGTGCGATGTTAACCAACGAAAATGGGACGAGAAATGAATAGAAATGATGATAAGCCAGAAAAATCAAGATTTTTTCCAAGAAAAATGTTCAATTCTACCCAACAAAATGGGAGTTCAGCAAACATAGGATGTTCAGCAACGGACATGGATCGTGACCACCAAAGTGACGATAAACCAGCCAAGAAACACATTGAGGCTCCAATCCAACCACATGGCAATCTAATCAACACAAAACCAACATAAGCACAAAACAAAATAGCAGTCTGACCGAAATGCCTGTCCAAAATTTGTATCTCCCCAGGACGCCCACCATTTAATGGTCCACAAAATGGAAGGCTGTGCGTGCAAATTGACGTCCCATTCTAATCATTCTACAACAGATCATGAAATGCAGGTGTTGATTGTTTTTGACCATGCTCAATAATGTATATAATGTTCAATGATTTTTGGTCTCCCATGGTCTCCCCAATTTTGATCCTGCCATACGAGGAAGGCAGTGACAAAATTGACTCGAAAAAACTATGTGCTAAGCACTCCACTTATGCACATCGGCCAAAGCGTCCAGCAACAGCTCACAAACCACAACGTGGCCACCCGCTGCAGCCAACTCAGGAAGCAGTGACGCAAAGAGTGGAAATAGGTGCGACCGTCTCATTTTTCCCTATTTATCAGGGTTGATAGTAGATCATTAAACTGATGTTTCAAGATTTACGCTTGTAGATATCTTATAATACTCTATATAAGATATTATAATACATATAATACCTTTCCCGCTGTCGCCACCAGTTCAATGACCACAACCGCTATGAAATTATTATTGTCACCTCTTCTTGCAAGCCAAACGAAATCAAGGAACTCAAACAGGTCACCCATACAGCCTCGCCACTGGCTTGGAGGCATCCGACCCTTGTTGTGAATCCCTTCAAATTGGCCATTATTAATCATTCCCAATAATAATGGTTAGTATTAGAGGTATGATATACATCATAATGGTAGAAAGTGGCCATCAATAATTCCAATTGGAAACATAATTGGTTGAAATGTGTACATATATATGTATCATTAATATAACCATACAGACTATACATATATATAATATATATGTATATATGTCAATGTATATATTTATATAATTTTATATATGTATATATGTATATATGTATATATGTATATATGTATATATTTATATATGTATATATGTATATTATGTATATATATTTATATCACCATTATGGGCCAGGACCATTATAACTTCCCATTAATGGTGCTATCCAAGGAGCATGGAGCGGTGTGTAGCCAGTTCCCCGGCAGCCATCGTTCACCGAGAGACCCACCTGCATACTGTATGATTGATGATGTATGGCAGGAGCATATTGTAGATGTGTCCTTATATCTAAAAGATTCTAAAAGCAGCAAACATAGATAATCATAGATACTGAAAACACATCTTTTTTTGGCATTGATACAGTATCCCTATCTTTGCTTTCCTTTCGCATGATCTTGAAAAAAATTAAGCCAGGATCAGTTGCTCGAATATTTGGAGTCAGTGTGAAACAGCAAAAACAAAAAGAAATTCTGGAGGCCCTTGGCTTTGCAATTTTGAATCAGGTACAGTAACAATCTAAATTATCATGATAATTAAACTATATTAAACTATGTAAACTATATAAGTTCATAAATATTCAAAATGTAGAATCTGAAACACGCATGGGGATCCACTTATATGAAATATATTGAAATATATAATATAGACATCAAGATTAGTAATCAAACCGTACAACATGCGAAAAAATACAGCACTGCTCGGGCTCACCGCTACAAGTTCGCGCACCACCGAAGCACTGCCACGGCCGGCAGCTAGGCGTAGTGCCTGGCTTAGACCGGAAAAAGGATGGACCATGGCGGGGTATGGGGGGGTTCAAGTTTGCGCTGTGATTGGAATCATGGTTTCATGACTTGTCCCCTGCCCAACCATGGAATCTCTGAAAGGTTTTTCTCATGTGCAAACATCTTCCTGTGGACCACGCCGATAATTGTCAGCAACACACCCATTCACCAACTCACAACAAGTCCAGTGCACATCCTGACTTCTTTTACGCCCTCTCGCAACAACCTCCCTCTAGTCCAACTTTCATCTTCAAATGGTACCATCGAGCATCCAAAGAACCACAAGGATCGGCCGGAAACTACACAAACCCGGTAGCCGCATACCCCGCCTCGCCCATGTCTGCGGCAGCAACACCATCAGCAACAAATTGGAGAACCTGCAGCCGGTATCAGCCGGTTGGCCATTTGGAATGGCTGATTCCATGGAGTTTGGAAGCAAAGTATCGGCAAAAGCCAAAGTAGTGTGGCTCTTGCATTCCACGTTCACTTTTGTGGTTTTCTTTGATGTTTTTGAAGGACATTTCCTTTACATCATCATCTTCTGAGGCTGCCAAGGAGTCCAAGGTCACGGCAACAGGAGCATCGTCATTCTGAACCTCAAATATAATAAGTTCATAACATTTCATAACATTCACTTCAGCGACTTCGGTGCTTCACTGCAAGAAGCTGCACAGCATAGACGACTCGACAAGCCATGATCTCTGTTGTCTTGGCTGCTGGCAGCAGTGAGGAGCAGTCGCCGGCTGCGGTCTTCCTGCAACGGTGGTGTCACTCAGGACGTCTCAGATTCAGTTTCCGCTGGCACTTGGCTTTCCAAATGTGAGCTGCAGAAGTCACGCCACGATACGCCACGTTCGGAACTGAGGAGCCGCTGGTGATGTCTCTGATGTCACCAGGCGCCTCATCCGCCAGACCGCGTCGGAGTTTGCTCTCCTTCAGACTTGCGACAGCCTGTGGTCTGACGGTCAGGATGCTGAATGTCTGATGAGGACTCTTGCAGTAGGGTGATACCCAAGAAGGAGACCAATCGATCTTGGATGAGTCATTGATGCTTTGTGACTGACACGCTCTTTCAACAGACCTCACACCCATTGTGAAGATTTCCATCCACCGCCCATCCTACTTCCGAAAGTGCACTCGAGCCCTTTGAATCTATTGCCTGCCCCACTTCTTCTTCCATGGTCGCATTGACATGAACGGGTACTTCGTGCATGAAAAGTGCCTCACACAAATGCACAACATGAGGCCATGAGGCACCGTGTTCCGCCGTATTCCGCTGTGTTCCACAGAATATCTGCCAGAGTTTGTGAGACCTTACGTCATACAACAGCATACAACAGCACACTGAGCTTGCTCATCCGAACTCTCATTCCAAATGGCTGGGTTCAAACGCCTGAGCCAAGTCCGGGCTGATCATGTCCTCCTGCCTCAGAAATCATGAAAGTTTGGATGATTCGATCTGGGCCACATGGGTCTGACCGAAAATGGGGTATACTCCCAATCGTACCCACTTAACGGGAAACTAATGACTAACCATCCGATTTTAGGTGCCTTGACAAATCCACATCTGCCAGACCAGCCTGGAAAGCACCCATCCCTAGGGCTCCAACCCTTCCCCTTCCAGGGAATTGCAGCATAACGCTTCAATACCCTGACCATGACTGCGGATCCGACGCTGATCCAGGGTGAAATTGCCGCAATTCTGGGAAGTTCAATCTGAAAGTCATGTTTATCTCTAAATTTCTGTCTAATTATTTATAATATCTACACACACTGTCTATATATTATATTATATCATATCATATTATATTATATTATATTATATTATATATTATATACTATATATTAAATATTATATATTATATATTATATATTATATATTATGTATTATATATTATATATTATATATTATATTATATTATTTATTATATATTATATATTATATATTATATATTATATATTATGCACTATATATTATATATTAAATATTATATATTATATATTATATATTATATATTATATATTATATATAATATATTAAATATTATATATTATATATTATATTATATTGTATTATATTATATATTATATTATATGATATTATATTATATTATATTCGGTTTTATTAAATTCCATAATTTTCCATTATATTATATTATATTATATTATATTTTATATTATATATTAAATATTATATATTATACATTATATATTATATATTAAAAAATATATATTATATATTATATATTATATATTATATATTATATTATATTATATTACATTATATTATATTATATTATATTCTTTTATATTATATTATATTATATTCGATTATATTATATTCCATTATGTTATACTATATTGTATTATATATTATATTATATTATATTGTATATTTTATATTATAACTTATATCTTATTAAGTTATATATCCAATTATTATATATTATATGTTATATTATATTAAGTTAAATTATATCATATTATACTCCATTATATTATACTATATATTATATTAAACTATATTAAATTATATCATATTATATTATATTGGATCATATTATATTCTATTATATTCTATTGTATTGTATTTTAACATATTATATTATATATTGTTTTAACTTGTATTATATATTATAATATTATATTATATATAATATTATATTATATATAATATTGTATTATTTATAATAATATATTATATTATATTATAGTATAGTATAGTATATTATATGTTTACATTACTATATTAATATTAATATTTATATGTATATTCATTTTTATATTATATTATACTAAATTATCTATATATTATATTATATTATATTATATATTATATTATATATTCTATATTATATATTATATTATATTATATTATATTGTATTATATTATATTATTATATTGTATATTATATTATATTAAATTATATTCTTATATTGTATATTATATTATATTATATTCTTATATTGTATATTATATTATAGTATAGTATAGTATAGTATATTATATTACATTGTGTTATATCAAATTATATCATATTATATTAATTTAATATTATATTGTGTTGTATTATACTAGATTAGATTATATCATAATAAATATATTTTTATATATACTGCATTGTACTGTATACATTTATATCAGTATTCCATATTAAACAAAAATATAAACTAACAATGCACGGCCATAGAACCTCGCCTTCACGGCCACTGCAGAATTGCCCATGACAGAACCTCCCACAGCACCACCACTGGGCCGGTGGATTCAACCAGCAGAAAGCGATTTTTTCTCCGGAAATTCCACATATTTCAACATGTTTCCACTGGATTTTACTGCTCTACCGTTTTTGGGGTTGCGATACACCAATCAAACAAGCAAATGTCAAACTCGTTCCAAGAGAGTGGTTCCACAATGGCAAAGCAGAACTTGACCCAAACACTCATTCCAAGGAGCCACCTCTGTTGAAATCGGCCACAGCCGGAATCACTTCATCGGCTGCCACCCAAGGTTGTGCAAATCGACGATCACGCTCCAGAAGAGTTTAGCTTCATGAGTAAAACAAACAACATTCCAAGAATTCATAAATGCTAGCCAATATATAGTAATTATATATATATATTGAAATCATGCCAGAGTCCGTTTTAGGATACTTGAGGCATGTGTGTTTGTGTGATTTTGTTCCAGTGTTGGTCTGGAGACCTAACATGCTAAGGAGCTGGAAAAGGTTCAAACAACAGCTGTGTCTCTCAAGGCAAACAAGGTCCATATCACAGAATCAAAGGCAGTTGGTCTATGTCTATGTCAAGTATTTGTGCTCTGCTGCAGGCTGCATTTCTTGCTGTACTCTTGCCATATACTTCCTTCAGCAAGTGCTTGAAGTTGGCGTAACGCAAAAGCCAGCTTTCAAGACGGAGCCAAACGCAGCAGGGGAAAACTTCACCCCCAGCTGACAGCGCATTTCTCTCCCAGTGCCTTCATCCCGTGCTCCCCTGTTGCACTCCATTTTCGGTCGCAGCGCTGCCCTTGTCTCACTGGCCTTGAAGGAAAATCGATCGGAAACCATCGGAATCGAATGCTTTCGACATGTTTCTACATGTCATGACCGTCTTATGACCATGAAAATCGGTGTGGCCTTTGCCAAGTTTTCCCTCAAAGCAATTCTGGGACTGCCTGGAAACCTCTCATCCATCAGGGAGTGACGCCCCCAGCAGCTCCAACAGCTCTTCGCCCAGGTCTTTGAGCTTTGGATCTGGATCTCGGTTGCGTTTGAAGCGCGTGCCACAGCTTGAACCTCGACGTGAAGGATCAACGCTGCTAAGGGATATCGGATCACAGGATAGGATTTCTGAAGGGAAGTATACGATAGTCCACGCATCCATCAAGCAACATCAAAAACAGCCAAGGTTTTGCTCCCAGAAACGCCATATCTTTGAGTTCTGCTCTGGGTATATACAGACCGAGGTACAAATGGCTGAAGCATCTGAGCAGTAAATCGATAAGCATGAAGAGCAAACGTGCCCGATTTCCAATGGCTTCCCGTGGCATCTGCACACCTCATTCTTACAGAATCTACTAAAAAACAAGATAAAAGTGCAAGAGTCTTTCGGACAACAAGAATAAACAAATGCGAAGCCAAAGATGTTGATCAATCATTGGGCCTAAAATCATCCATATCAGTAGCCCGGATTATATGGCTACCCACCGAAATATTCTTTGTAAACCAGACTGAACCTGTTTGACTCCTCATCCTAAATCTGCCAAAAAATTGTTCTTCCAGTCACGGCAGGTAAGTGTTGGCTGTCTGCCGCCACCATGAGCTCTTTCCGCACCATTTTGGTGGACATGAAGTGAAAAAGCATCGAGGGAGCCAGAACTTCGGCCAGTGGAGGCTGTCCTGTGGCAAGACGTTGCAGCAAAAACTGTCTGACTCGTTGGTGGTTTTAACATCTTTTGACCCAATCCCAAAAAAGATGTGAATTGTACGTAGTTTATGAGACAGTATCATGATAGATCACTACAAGATACTACAAGTTTATGTATGCGGTATACGGATGTATACGGTATACATAAATAATCTCAACCATTGATGAAAACAGAAAATGCTTGAAACCAAACATCTGAGCACCATCGGATTCAGTAACTATAGTCGAAGGAAGTTTAGAAGTCAAACTTCCGACAATATGGACAGATGAAAAGCAGAGCAGGGCAGAGGCAGAGAGAAGAGAAAGATTAGAAGAGAGAAGATCAGAGAAGAGAAAGAGTCGGAAGAAAGAAGATGCAGATGCGCGAAAAGGTAGGAAAGTCGCGAAACACTGTGTTCTTTCCAATGATTTGAGGCTCCGGAGGGTCGAAAAGTAGGCTCGCTAAAGCGGCGGGTGTGGAGCCAGCTGGCCAGATGAGTGATGAAAAATTGCACGCCGTTGTGGCGCGAAGCACATTTCGATGTCAAAATGTACAAAACACACCACGTTCGGATCACTTTTGGAAGTTGCGATGTCGAAAAAGTGCACGCCGTTGTGGCGCGAAGCACATTTC